CAGAAAGCCATGTGAGCACGCATGGACCGTTGGTACTTGCTGGTTCAGGCAAACCTGATACCGCGTTGACAGTTCGACTGTTACCTCAGGAGGATTTGGTTGCACCCAAAGCAGAGCTTCATTCCGAAACGACCCAGTTGGATATCATGTATCCCCCGAGCCAGATTCCCGCTCCCTCATCCTCCAACTCACCCTTATCGGCCTTCATTGCAAGCGAACTACAGAGTCTATTTATTGAGGAAAAGGCAATCATTGCGCAAATCCTGTCCGACAGCAACCTGGGCAGCGCCAATACCAACACTCCTCCATCTTCGAACAATCAACAGCCCTTGGCGGTTCTCAACTCCATCTCTCCGCAGCTGGCAGAAAATATCAGCAGACGGTTGAGACGGTCCATGAAGTATGCCGAGACCTATCACCTTGCCTTTTCTCTGTTCACGCCCGGCGCAGAGCCCTCCTCTTGGGACATCCAAGCAGCTGTGGAGGAATACATTTCCCCACTGCTGCAAGCGCTGGAGCCGGTTAGCAACTTCACTGTCGACACGCAAGTACAGCTATACGCGACCTTTTCCCCAACCGCACCCAAGCCCGAATATGATGAGGCACTGGCGGCTTGGACCTTGAAGAAGGAAGATCTGAGTGCCTTCATTAACGCCGCCGAATGGCCTTTGAGCCCTAGTATCGGAAACGGTCCAACAATTAACTTCATTCTCTATGTGCCTGAGCCTTCACAGTCGCCCATGCTCGTCAAGGAGGGCGGAGCAACCAGCTGGATCATCCCTCAATGGGGCGGCGTCTTCCTCCTCAACCCTCCTCTATCGACCATCCAAGGGAGCCCCTCCAGCCCAGCCCATCTCTCGAAGGATTCACTGCGCGCCGCCTTCTTGACATTCTCCCACCAGCTTCTCACCTTACTTGGCGTTCCCACCACGCCTACCTCCCTCCCCTTCCGTCTGCAAACGCTCATCCGCGTCCGCGCCGCGACGCTCCTTCTCTCCGCATCCTCCACCATGGGCTCCCTCGCCCGTCTCACCGAGTCTCTCCCCTCAATCCCCATCCCAGCAAATGTGGCCGCATCTGTATCCACCACTCTCGCTCATCTGGCCTCGGCATGCACTCATCTCAGCGAGGGCCGCTTCGAAGCAGCTCTTGCCAGCGCCCGCGTCGCGGAAACAGAGGCCGAGCGCAGTTTCTTCGAGAAGAGCATGGTGGGTCAGATGTATTTCCCCGATGAACATAAAGTTGCCGTATACCTCCCCCTGCTGGGGCCTATTGGTGTCCCGCTTGTCGTGGGGCTACTGAAAGAGGTCAAGAGGATTATTTCGGATCGGAAGGCCAAGCGGGCGATGCGTTCATAAATAATCTCTTCATTGGTTTGGTGTACTATATAGTTTCTCTTATTGGTGTGATAATCAATGGACGACTTCGTCTTATTAGTTCAAATGGTCATCGGCACCAAAGACTAGACTATTAATTAGATTCAAATGACGAGACAAAGGACAGCAGCATAGTGGCACAGCACGCTAAATAGTGTATACGCAACTGCTAATAAAAGAATCAAGCCTTTTTCTCTATGCAAAAGAACGAACACAGACACATAAGAGATGAAGCTGTTTCCCATCAACAAAGGCAAGTCAAAGGAAGAGGACAGGCAAGTCAGATAGGTCGCAGAGGACTTTTGCTCCTTGACCTAGGGGTCTCATTGACCTTGTAGCTAGGATCACCTTTGCTATTCTTAAACCCTACCTGATCAATCATCTCCGTGAAGGTTGCACCATTCCCCACGACGATAGTCGGGTACGGCTCTGGCTTGAGAACACCCGTCGAGGCGAACGTCCCCGGCGGCGTATACACCTTGATACTCTCCGTACTGGGCATGCGAACCTGCTGTGGAGGGGTCAACGGCAACGGGGGCGGCTTTGACGCCATCTGGCTCGGCTTGGGCGTTGAGCCGAACAGGCTCTTGACGCGGGTACCTGTGCGTTGGAGCATTGATCGTGCGCCTTCGGAGTTGCGTTTCAGGGATCTTCGTAGAAGGAAGTCGGTTCGGTAAGCGTTCTCTTCGGAAGGTATGGGGTCGGAGATGCCGATGAGTGTTCCGCTTGATGTCCTCTGGGTGTGCTGTGCGATCTTCACAGACGGGGGCAGGTCAATGTTACGTCGCCTCATGAGGAACATTGCTAGAAGTGCGAGGACGGCCCCGAAGGCGGCGCCGGGGAAGAAGCCGGCAACGATCGCTTTCGTTGGAAAAGAAGGGCATGTGGTCGTCACAGCGGCTGAAGTTCCATGGCAGCTAGAAGCAGGGCTGGAGGCTGATGAGTCTGCTGGATCAGATGCCGTTATGATAGTCGGCTGGACCCCATCGGTTGAAGATGCGGTGTCTGTGGCTTTCGAGGAAGTAGTTGCAGTTGTTGGAGCTGTAGATGCCATAGATGTTGTAGATTCTGTTGAGGCCGTTGTAGAAGCAGAAGAAGGGTTGGAGGTTGTTGTGGTAAGTGAAGATATTGAGCCCGTGCCTATCGAAGAGGTCGATGTGCTCATGGCGCAAATGTTATTGCTTTGGCAGCTGTATCCGAAAGGACAGCATGAATCTCCGCACTTTGGCAGAGTATCGCCAAGCCGTATTGTCTTGACCACAGCTTTTGGGTGGAGGGTGGCATTTTGCTGTGACACATCGCAAGTGATCGGCTCAATAAAGGCACAACTTTGCCCGCTGGGGCAGCAGATGGCGGAACTTCCGTTATCCAGACTCACGCAGGTCGCTGTGGACGGACAGCAAAAAGAGGATGGCAGATTGGAGTTGTTGCATTGCTCATACGATGCTGGACAGGAGTCAGAGGCCCGATTCAGCAGGTTGTTGAAGGCATAGCTCGGTGAGATGGTAGTCACAACGGTGGTGAAGGCCACCAAAAACGCAGTGAAACTTGACCTCGCCATTTGGCAATATCAAGAGTTCTTCAGGAGACAGATTTGCAGTATGTAGTATTAATCGCAGAAAGGATGAGTTCAAGAAGATATCAGTCGATTAGAAATGAATCTTCCCAACAACAATGGAACCTAATCGCGAGAGCCACACGTTGAAGCTGAAAGGACTGTAGAGAAAGAACAAAGAACAATCTGCAGACCACACAAAAGATCAACAACAAAGAGACCGAGAACAGAGTGAGAGACAGGAGTTTGATTCAATGCCCAAAATAGGTATCAGGCCATCATTTAAGGAACCTTCAGGGCCATGGCAGCTACAAGCGCCGTCATCTCAAAATAGAGACGGCAAATGGGGCCCAACGTGGATCGCATATTGAAGGACCGATCTAGGTGCTCGGGAGCATAGCAGCTATTCTTTGATGCGGTCCAGTTGAAAGCGTCCCATTTGACAACGCAATATGGGCCTGAGACGAGGGCGCGTAGAGTGTTGACTGAGAGAAGAGGCAACAGACCGTCGATGGGCGGTTAACAGGCACAGGGAAGTAAATCCCTGGGCGCTGATTGGCTGGTTACATATGCGCCTTACCTCAGCAACGCTAGTCCCAATACAGCAATTTCGAATCCGCGATGGGAAATTCTGCGGCCGTGAAGCTGCTCTCCATTTGATATTCAGATCCCTCAATTCCACGCCTCCATCATGTTGAACCGACTCCTCCGGCCGCAGGCTCCTCTGCGTGCATTGTCCTCTCTTTCTCAAGTAAGCTTTCCCGCTTTCCCGGTAGTCCTTGGCTTGACAGAACTGATCGTTCCTGATAGAAACCCGTCTCCGCCCTCCCACGATTCCAGACACGACAGTTGCACCGAGTCCCCCAGTTGACGCACGATGCGCACTTCAAGAAAAATGGTATCCCAGAGCTATTGTCGCCAGAGGCATTCGACTTTGCTTGGACGCAATATCAGACTCTCCTCATTGATAAACTGAATCTCTTGACACAGGGTGAGACGACCTTCCGCAAGACCTCTATCTTCAGCTAGACTTCGCGCTTTGGCAAATCTGGAATTGAGTATAACATGGAGTCAATATCTGATGCTTGTTCCATAGACACCGTCGACGCCGATGCGAAACCCGGAGAACTGCTGGTCAAGTACTCCCGGCGTCCGGAGATGGCCTCCGTTTTCAACTACGCCTCGATGGCTCACAACAACCATTTCTTCTTCAACTGCTTGGTGAGTAGATTGCAAAGGGAGCACCGCTATCTGACCGGCCCGCATCTAATTTGTTTGCACAATAGTCACCCACCCCCACTCAGATCCCCGACAAGTTCGCCAAGGACATAATCGACACCTGCTCCTCCGTCGAATCCCTCAAGCTCGACTTCCTGGCAACCGCCAACGCCATGTTTGGACCCGGTTTCGTATGGCTGGCTAAGAATCTTGAGCGGGAAGGATTGATGCACATTTTCTGCACCTACAACGCAGGCTCGCCCTACCCTGCTGCTCACTCCCGGCGCCAACCGGTCGATATGGCCACCCATAGCCCCGATGCGCCTCTTGGCAACATGTACGCCGGCTCGATGGGAGCGCACTCACTGAATCAGAAGAACATGGCTCCCGGCGCCGTAGACGTGCAGCCCATTCTGTGTGTCAACACCTGGGAGCACGTCTGGATGATGGACTACGGTATCGGCGGTAAGGCCGAGTACTTGGAGCGGTGGTGGGACCGGATCAACTGGGAGACTGTCTTTGACAACTACAACGCGGTCAGCTCGATGAAGGGCGCCCGCCATGCGGCCAACCGGAATCGCAGCCTAAGCATGCTATGAAAAAAAAAATAAATACCTCCGGATGCATGTTTCGATAATTGAATGTACTATACTATACTAGCTTTTGACAGCATTGGCCAGGCTTTGTTCAGGGGTTTTCTTTTCTCATATGTTGTCTAAATGTACAGCGATTCGTCTCAAGATAGAGATACAAAATGGAAAGAATGCGACTGATCCTCTATACTATACAATTCCGTGTATCCTCAGCTCATGCATACCTCTATACAACCCAATAGCCCGAATCTATAATGATCACCTTCCCTCTACCTCCCTAATCCTCTTCTCAAAAGCCTCAATCATAACACCGGCCATCTGCCCCTCAACTGCGCTCATCATCGCCGCATGGAACTGATTCCGAAACTCGAACTGAATCTCCAGCTGCACCCGCGTCTGCACACTTCCCTCTTGTACCGGCACCAACTCCCATTTCGTACTCAAATACTCAAAAATCCCCTCATTCGCCCCGGGAAAGATCCCCCCTTGTTGCCCATCCTTCGAATCCACCCCGAACTTAGCCCCGCTGCGCGCCTCGACAGTCCACTTGTCCCGATTGCAGTCCACGCGCGACGTGAAGGTTTCGCTGAGAGGTCCGTAGCCGACTGTTAGGAAGGCGCGCGTCGGGTACCCCGTTTCCGGGTCGCGGTGGGTTACGGTCGAGGCTGTGAGAAAGGGGAGGAATTGCGAGTAGGATTCGACCGAGGAGATGACCTCGAAGAGCGCGCTGGGGGAGTAGGGGAGGGTGCGGGTGGCGGTTAGGACGCGGCTTTTGTTGTTGTCATTACTGTTGCCGTTACCCGGGGGGAAGAGAGAGGAGAGCGAGGAGAGATTGAAGGATCGGCGGGTTGTGGTTGTGAGTGGTGTTGAGCGAGGGCTTGGAGTTGGTAGTGTTCGTTGCTGATGCGAAATGCGTGGGACGAGGGCCGGTGAGGTCGGCGCACGGATGGTGATGTTTGTTCCGCGACAAATGCGTCGCAGTGGTAAGGATGGTTTCATTTTATGTTTGAGGACTTGCGTAGATATGGATGCCACTGCTGCAGACGTGAGACAGGGCAATTGACTGCTCCGTAGAGTGGTACTCCGTACTTTTTTCTTTGCTGCAGGATCCACGCGGGACGTGCCGAACTGCATAGTTTACTTGCATAGCGACGTCATGGCCATTGAGCACAGAAGGCAAGAGTCTTGTTTCTTAATACTTTTATGTATCATTAGTTATTGTTAAATATCGGATTTGATTGGATGAATTGCATATAATCATGAACCCTTGTCGTATCCCGAGTTATATACATTTGAAATGCATTATAAATAAGGGCACCCAACCCCCAAAAGCGCCAGTTAACACAGGTAGCAAATTAGGACCATCACTTGACAATTGATAACCGGTCTATCAGAAGTAACTAGCGTTAAGTTCTCTACAGAGGCCGATAGGCAACTCTTATGGCTCCAGGCCAGGATACCAAAGAGTGTGCACGTTTTCGTCTTCAAAGCCTTGGATTTGCTGGTCCCAAAGACGCTGTGAAAGGTTAGCAAACCTGGAACGAAACGGCCTCAATGTTCTTACCCAGTCGAGGTTGGTCGGCGCGTCAAGCATCTCTTCAATCACATCTAGCGAGGTAAATGGTGGCTGTATTGCATTGATCTGGTCGTGGGCAAGCACGGACGGGGGACCTTGCTGATTATGCCATCCGTCATACGGGGGTGGTGAAACTACAGTCCGATGATTTAGTATCTTGCACAAGTGATCAAGCTGGTCATCTTACCATCACTCGTTGTATTGAATTCTTGACCACTTGAGCCGCTGGTTGAGTCTACCGCATGTTGCGTGCTTTTCTTGACACAACGAAGCATGATTGACATCGCAGCATATGCTTTTTGTGCATCCGCCGATCGCCGGCGCATGTCCTTGAAAATTTGATGAGTTGACTCCAGGGCTGATAGAAGGTCTTCACGGCCCTTGATGATCACTGTCACGTCATTACATTGACTGTTCGTTCCTGGCTCCGTGGGATGGCCAGGGGAGAGTTCGAGGCAGATAATCATGGCTGCTAGTAGGTAGTCTGTGTTTTGTATAGAATTCGGGAATTGCCTTTCGCGGTACAGCTGGCCTCCAGGCTGAATTTCCTGGTGCAGATCTGCTTGGTGTCGAAGGATCTGTTTCGCTGCGGTCATACAGACCCAGCGAGAATATGTGTATCGCATATTGTCGTGGAATTCAGCCAGGTACCTCCGGTGTAAAACGCAGCGGCACTTCTGATACAGAACCTCCAGCGTTAAACGCTTGAGGATTAGCTCAGACTGGTCGGTGATTGACTGCTCCATGGGCCTAATCCGTAGAATCGGCGGAATCTGATCGTGTGCTTCTTCAAGATGCCGATCAATTTCGAGCGTTTGCTCGTAGGTCACCGGTTCTCGTGAGTATGCAAGATCTGATATTCGTCCAAAGACAGACATAATTCTTCCCTTGGCCCTGGTATAGCACAGCGGAGTGCGCTCGGTCTCTGGCCGAGAAGGTGGGAGTTCTTTCGTATTCTCATCGTAATCTTCATCAAACAAATTCCGTGGCAACTCCACGTCGTGTTGCCAGGCCTGGATTGTCCGGGGTAGTCCGACTTGGAATGAAATCAGGGTGTCGAGTTGGCTCAGAACAGTCCATAGACGTCGTCTCATTTCCCCTTCATACGCTGACATTTTAGGGAAATTTCGGGGATCGCGATGGTACCCCATACGCATGGCAAGCCTTATAGTGAGTCCGAGCATGAACGAGACTCCGGCTTGGGCGTCACAACTTGTGAAGAATTCTCCCATCGTATACAAAAACAGTGCCTCAACTTTGTATCTGCCGGGAGTTATATAGTTTGCTTGGACCAAACATTGTACAGTACGTTTGCGGAATCTGGTCGTGGCGATCAGGTGGTCCCCCAGCGATTGGGGTACTGGTTCCTCTATCGTATCCAAAACTGATATTGCCAATGTGAAAATAGCATATAGCACACCGAGCCATTCGAGAGACACCCCCTGTGGGTTTAGCCAAAACTGGTTATACTGTGTTCTGTCAGCTATCTGTGAGCAATTGATCTTTGAATAACTGACCTCCTTCTGGAATGTTGGGAAATGGAGAACGACTTGTAATGTCAGAACCTGCGTAGAGTTTCGTACGACAGGGTATGCGTACCTAATAGTGGCTCTTTACAATGGAGGAGCTGTGAAACAAGTCTATCTGCTACTGGTCGTGGAGGAATATCGGCGAGAATTTCCTCTTTGCTCGCGGGCTTGTTCAAGCCAAGTAAGAGAGCCGGCGAGGAAGAGTCGAAAAAATCGTCATCAATGATTTCTTCCTCAGATTCTTCGTCCGTTTCTTGTTGAAAGTACCCCTTGACCTCGTTCACCTTGCAGGGCGTTGTTAATACGTAGACATGCAATAGAGGCAGGCTGCCTTACCTCCTCGAGTATAGCACGCCAATGAGCGCCATCGAAATAGCTCGGCCCTGCTTCATTTTCCAGGAGTCTACCAGTGCTTTCGGGCGCAGTGCCTCTCGGTTCAGGTTCAATGCTTGAAGAGGGATTCTGCAGCACCGCTGGAACAACACTCCCTCCTTTTCGAGACGGGATATTCTGCTTCTCTGATGCACTAGAGGCTTGACTTTGTTCGGATGACTTCTTCTGAGTAAATGACAAGATCAGATTCTCAAGATGTTGCAGGCGGTCTTGCACAAGAGTCGGGCTTGTTCGACCCTGCGATGACCTTCCTCGAGGGCCTCGGCCAACAAAGGTGCAGGATGCGGCCTCCCCTCTTTTCTTACAGTTGGTACATGGATATGTCCGACAACATTTAAGCCTAAGTAGGCATGCATCAGCACAAAATTCTATGACTGCAGAGCAAAAGACGTACTTCCGGCTTCTACAGGCAGTGCATGACAGTTGAACTCGGCTCCTCTTCTTCTCCTTGGTCGCCATGCTCGGGTTCTGAACGTTCTGAACGTGGGTACCTGTCGTCGAGTCGGCCATCCTGGATGAGGAACTACGTTAAATATAAAGATGTGATGAAAAAGGATTCTGTCATTCACATGAAATGGAATACATGTTGCCTGGTTGAACGGTGAACACAAGCGGGAAGGGAAGATGGTCGTATGGCTTCCCGGTCTCCGGACTTAACTCCGCGCCAACTGGGAAAATCGAGCAAAGCATCTCACTTCGACATCAACTCATTTGCCAACTGTCAGCACTTTTCTCCAATAGAAGTTCCTACAGGCCTACCACTACCACAAGGCCCCCTCGACAGCTAAAGCAATCTTCACAGTTCCGATCCGCCACTCTGGGCCCCCTTCCCCTGTCTTTGAGTTGTTTAAGACCCAACAATATATCCCGCGGCGGGACCGGTTGGGTGCCGTTGATCTCACCAGCATTAAACCTTCTATTTCAACACGGTCTCGCTTTTCTAGAGAGAAGAGCTGGATTTCTCACTCTGATGCCGCTATATCAGGACGGGACTCAAACTTAAATGCAATGACAGAGGTGCATACGAACCCCTGAAGAATGCTGGGTGGGAGATTGCTACATAGCTTGATCCCGGACCAACCGAAACTGCAATCTTCGAAATCCTAAATCAGATTTTCCAACCGCGTCCGTGGAATATTCTGATAGGCTTGTTGGTGTCTTTCGTCTGCATCTGCAGCCAAATGTCAATATCACCAAATCCTGGCAAGCAATAAACGTGCATCTTCCAAGAACTCGGCTTAGAAACGCAGGGGCCAAGACTCGAAAGCAAAGATACAGGCCTGTCTCACGAGGCGTTAAAGGTATCCGAGAATGCAACTCTATGGGATCCGTGCGTGGCGCTCAAGGTGTTCGTCAGCTGAGAGACGTCTGAGTGGCATCTCATTCTATCTAAGGTGGTCTTGTCTGAGATGCGCGGGATTAGTCCTCCCTTCCTCAAACGCTTGCAAGCCCACGGATGTCCTCAACATGCGCACAGACCAGCCAAATGAGACACACAGAGGAGATAATCTCTCGTCGAATTAAGATTGCCGAGACTCGGCGTCGCCTTGATTCTCCGCGATGAGGTACCAATGGCAAGCACAGATAAAATTGTCTCGGAACAGAGACCTTGACCAGGAACACAACCCTTCCTTCTGCACGGACAGAAGTACAAGCTCGCAGAAACTTCCGAGACAAATGCCTCGTTGGGCTAATAGTGGCCGTGGCGCTGGCGGAGACGCTTTCAATACACGATCCGAGTACCAGGTTGCGGGGACGGACCGTCAGGTAGGAGGAAGTCCCGAAGAACGAGATATTTCTGTTGCATTCATCTCGTCGACCTCGACACTCGAGAGAAGATAATCATCGACTTCAGATCACAGCCATCAAGCATTCAATGCACCCTACAATGAAAGCAAATACCTGCATTAAAAAAGTTATGGATCCTAACCTGGTCCTAACCAAAGCAAACTCCGAATACGACTCTTTGCTATGCTCAAAATACACCACACCCAAAACTGGGGTCTTTGCTATATTGCCACAGAGCTGGATCCCATATGCCGAACTCATGCGACTAGATCGCCCCGCAGGCTACTGGGCCTTTTACTGGCACTTCGCCATTGGCCTTGCCTTGGCAGCCAGCGTTGCCTCTCCCATTCCGTCGCCGCTGGCCCTCATCTCTCTGTGTGTATTCTTTGCAGTCTGGGTCATTGTACTGCGCGGAGTAGCCTGTACCTGGAACGACACTCTGGACCAGGATTTCGACCGCAAGGTGACCAGAACCAGAAATCGTCCCATTCCACGGGGCGCCGTCTCCACGGTCCAAAGCCATCTCTTCACCCTTGCTCAGATTGCCGTTGGAACGACGCTGCTCCTTCCTTTGCCGCGGGGGTGCATGTATTATGCTGCGCTCATGACCGCTATCCTGCTGGTATATCCTCTAGGGAAGCGAGTCACGGATTTCCCACAGGTCATATTGGGAATTGCATTCGGCATGCCTACCTTCCTTTGCGGTGCGGCTC